TATTTTTTGTTTAGTAACGATTTTAATTTAGGGCCGGGTTTTTGTGAAAATTTGACGTTGACAGGAATATTGTGTTTAATGGCTAGTTTTGTCCAAGTGTGGATAATTCTTGAGCTGGTTTCAGGAACAAAAGGTAAACTTCATTGCAATGTACTGTTGTTGGGTTTGTTAGTGTCAATTTTGTTCGGGAGTTGAGTTTTATTGTGGGGAATGTTGGAGAGTTTTTCAACTATAGTTGGTGGGAATTTATTGGTGTGAATAAAGGAATGCTTTAAGTGGCTAATTTCTTCATTTATGTAGTCCATTGAACAGAGTCTTGTGGCTGTGTTTATGAGGTTTTTAAGTGTATTGATTTTTTGTGTGGTGTCATGAGCGGAATTCCAGGGGATGTAGAGACCAGTGTGTGTGTTTTTGCGGTGAATTTTGGTTTTAAACTGTTTGTCCGATCTAATAATTTTGAGGTTAAGAAAGGATAACTGCTTATTGTTTTCGTGTTCTATGGTAAATTTGATGTAAGGATGAATGGAATTTATGTGTTTAAAGAAAGTTAGTGTGTGTTCTGTAGAAGTGAAACCAGCAAAAGTGTCATTGACATATCTGTACCAGTATAGTGGGGGATGAAGCGCAGAATGTATGGCTTGTGTTTCGATCTGGGTCATGAATATATTTGTTTCGCCCGTTCTTGCCTTCTCTCTTAGAATTTACAACGACTAAAACCAACTTCATTTTCAACAACGAACATTTCCTTCAAATAGACGGTTTAAGTATGGGCAATCCTTTTCCTTATTTTTTGTCTTGTGAACACAGACATTTTTGTTTAGTAACAGTTTGTTGCCCTTTCATATAATTGTTGATATTTTGTTCTGGTTTACTACTCCTTCATATGTATACATAGATGGTAATGTTTACATTTCATTCATTATTTCTTTACATGTACTTTTGGTAGATAACGCTTAATCTTAATTCTCCATATCATTTCATTTATACATAACTATTAACTTTCTCAGCATGGGGTCTGTCCAATGGATTGATCTCCTAACCATTTTCTGTTTGTTAGAGTTTTTATGCTATAACTTGTTAATTAATAAGTGAATCTTCTAGAAATTTTGCAGATTTTCAGTAAACATTACAAGATATGAGATTTCTTAATTAAGTTTTAAGATTTTTAAGTAATGTTTTTCTCGTGCCTTTTTATTTTTGAATG